CGAAAGTCTAGAAGAAGGCTTCCAAGTATTCCTTTGGATATAGCTCATGTCACTTCCTGTCACTCCTTAGAATGGAGTTAAGGCACACCAAGATATTAATTTTCTCAGTCCTCAGGGTTATGAGCAGGGCTAAAGCTGGTGAAATCATCCATTGACATCAGAAAGCCACATATATAGAGGGAAACATTGTGTTACAGAGGTCCAGTTGTGGTTGAGATCAAAAGACTTGTTAAAAAAACTATACTCTAAAATGCCAAAGAGAAAACTAGAGAAGACATCTCCATTAAAAATGGATGTGACTTAACATCAAGACTATTGCAACTGTTATCAGTTTTGGTTAGAGTCAACTGAGTAGGGAAGCACATGAAATAAACAATTTTGATGAAAGTTGATTCTCATTATGGAAGTTATGCTCTATAATTGTAGAGAAGACTGAGTCATTGCCCCTAGGGGGAAATACAGGGTTCCTAAAAGCCTCTGGTCATAACATTTTAATCAACTGATCAACATACAACTATTTAATTGTGTTTCTGTTTAAAGACATCTTATTTAACATATATAATTTATATTGTTGATTCATTAGCTTTCAGCTTGCCACCACAAACACTGTAACATGCCTGAACGAAGCCTGTCTAACATGTGCATTTTCTCTGTAAGACACCTCACGGACTCCTCAGCTTTAGGAACACTATGCAGCACTGCAGCACCACATTTGGTGGGGGACATTGTAAACAGCAAAATCAACAGAGAGCACAAAATTGAGAAAAAGATGGCACTAAATAGACTGTGAAAAGAACACTAGTTTTAGTATGAGAGTTGAAATGAGAAGGCGGAGCATCACCTTGTTGAACCTCAGCTAGAATGTGAGCATCAAATGACTTAAATTTGTCACTGCTCTGTGCATACATATGTCTGCAAATCACTATGAAAATGAATTTTAATGAGTAGATGAATTAGCAAGTATGAAATCTACAAGTAATGAATTACAAAAACAGCAGTACTATATTTAATTCCTATACTTAATGAAGTCTTTCAAACCACCAGATTTTGGCCTCTTTGTGGAGGAAAATATCAAATGAAAGTGAAATGATAACATGAAGTGAGTTGGTAGTATGCCATACTTATTTCATATAATTCTTCTAAGAATAAGTAAGGAGTTACAAACTTTTCCTCTATCATCTTAGGTTTAGTGCTGGGCCTATGTATTAAACTGATAAAAGACAGATTAAAAGAAGAAAAGAAAACAGAGTCTATTTACACATGGAATATGTAGGACATGAGGGAGAACTCAATGATGAGTAACTCAGAGGCATGGTTAGAGTTGAGAGCTTATATACCATCCTAACAGAGGGTGATAAATTGTGGAGACCTAGATAAAGGAAAGGGGGATTGGGGCTCCTAGGGGAGGTAAATTGTGGGAAGGTGACTAAAAATATATAGTAGATAAGAGGTGTTTGGTAAGATCGTTATGCAAATAACAGCTTTCTCCTCTTTCTAGTAAGGAAGATGTGAACACCTTTACAAATAAAAATTTGTGTCACCTTTACAATGGGAAATTCATGCCCTACTTTTAGGCAAAAATGGGGAGGAGGGAGAATTCCTCTTATGTCTGATGTTTCTCAATTGTCTTCAGCTCAAAATAATTCTTATGTGAAAGAATATATGTGAAAGAATCTATATTTTTATGTGAAAGATAAAATGGACAATTATGGCAGAACAAATGATCATTTTTTTGTTGTTTTTGCTGTTATAACACTTCTTAACAGATCATTCAATACAATTATGCAAACTAAGACATGGATAAATTTTTCACAGATGTGAGAAGTGTATACAACAGTGTAAAAGACTATTCCAGAATTAATTCTTCCTTTTTGTCTTGGGTTTTAATAAACGCAGCAGGAAAAAACTCCTGGGTCAATGGTCTGAATAGATAGAATGTTTACCTGAGATGCTTATCTGTTAAACTCTTAGGATTTGCTTGTAAGTAGTTTGGAGGGACTATAAGTCCTAGTTTGAAAATGGGGATTAGCAAGTAGATTGAGGGTGTAGGTATTCGTGTTCATGGTGATTTTAAGAAAGGGGTTACAAACTGGTTTTGGGGAAGGAGATTTTTGCTCTCAGACCTATTTTCCTTACCAGCTGTGTGCTGAATGAATGCCTTGGAATTGCAGAGCAATCCCTTTAGGTGGAGCTGGCTCATGCTCCTTAGTCGCAGCCAGTGCCTTCCTTGTTGCCTCATACTTCGCAGTTGCTGCAATTTCATTACCTGCTTGGTCAAGGAGGCAGTGCTGCAGGCCACACTCAGAAGCTACTAGGCTAAGTAGTAACTGCACAGAAGCAAGAGCCCTTTGCCCTAGCACTGGCATCTTCATCACTCTTTCCTCCCCTCTTGCTAAAGGGAGAAATTTGCTTTACTGGGTGGTTGTGTTTTTTGTTTGTTTGTTTCTTGTTTGTTTGTTTGTTTTTCCTGCATCACTCTTTTTTTGTTGTTGTTGTTGGTTTGTTTTTCCTGCATCACTCACGGTCTTCACTCTTTCTTGAGTCTGAGTTTTTTTTTTTTTCCCACATCATTTGGATCTCCCTAATTCAAACTGAGGAAAGACTTCTTACTAATAGCAATAAGGCACATTCATGGGGAAGTCAGATGCCTGAGGATTTAGGGGTACTTAACTCTTTTCCCTTTTTCATGCTTTACAACTGTGATTAAGTCAGTGCAGACCACCCGTCACCATTTCTTACTGCTTAATTAAGAAACATCTCGGAATTTTCTCCCATTAGTTTCAGGCAGATTAGAAGGAAAAAATATTTTAACAGATGCTAAAGAGTCTTTCCAATGATTTGAAGATTAGGAGAGTGCCTTTTATGGGGCTCCCAAAGTGTTCCCTGGCTGCTTCTGCCAGAATTGAAAAAAATTTAGTGGCTGAGTACTTAATGAAAAACCAAGATGCTCTGACAAAGAACTCCTGGGCAACTATTACTGTAGCTCCAAAGAGTTACTGCAAATTAAATTTTATTCTTGTCCTTTATGATCTATATCAGGCAGTAGGTGTAACAGCATGACTGAAATATTATTGTCTTACACTTTCGTTAATAAAAGCAACCATTCATTAATATATGTGTACCAGCAGGAAATATGAAATGGTATGCTCCAGTTGAAAAGCCAGATATTGTATTGTCAACTTCATAGGCAAAAGGCAGGGTAAATACAATTAGAGTTTGGGGACAGGGTAATTACTATCTCCATCTGGTAACACATTCTTTATCTGAGCTCAACTGTCTTACGGGTTTTAAGTGCTTATGGGGCATCTTGCTAGGCAACCTAATAAAGGATTACTTTTTAAATGTTACCTTGAAAGCTTTTCAAGATTGCCTTTGTCTAATAACACAATATCACATCTGGCATGATTGCCATCGCTGTAAAGCAAAATCTTTTAATAGTATTTATTAAGTACTTCCCAAAGATGCATAATCACCAACATGAGTTGATGTTAATAGAGAGTCATTCGTCAGCTCAGTCTTCATTATTTGTGGAAAAGCAGGCTCAGCAAGAAACATATAATGAATGTAAAGCAAATACAAAATACAACATCCCTGCGGTCTGACTCCTTTTCCCGAAGGATGGGAACATCGCATTTCACAGTCTAGCTGCTTGGTAATTTCTGAACACTGTCTCTAAAATATTTGGCATGAAATATCACGAGCTAAACAAGCACGAAGAACACAGCAGCTAAAGGGAGGCTTATGGGGAGAAATGGTATTTACTTTAATGACCATGGCTTAGGAAATTGCCATATTCCATACTGGGTTAATAAAGGCTTAGGGCAAAGTGGAGAGTGAATGGCAACCGTGCTGGCTGAGAGCGTGGAGGAAATGTCAGGCACCTTCTCATTGTCACCAGAACATCAGAACTCTCCACTCCCCTCTGCTCCTTCCCTGAGCCTCACAACCCAGAGCAGGGCTGGGTAAGAAAAAAAATTGTGATTAGGGTAATTCAGCAGCTGGGAAGGTATTTTCTGACAGTTCTGCAGATAATGGAGTGCTGCACACAGGGTAATAAGGATAGAGAGTGTGATTATAAGCTATAATTCAGTCAAGAGGTTAGATGATCTCATAAACAGTCAGTACAAAGCCATTGTGGTTTGTCTTAATATTATCAGGACCTTAAGATTGAACAAGAACTTGGCTACTCAATATTTTGCCTTGTTTGTTCTTTTGGAGTATGGAGTGGGAGTGGGAACCAGGTCTCTATTTGATCAATTATTCTAACCCATGTATATTTATGTGCATATACATATGGCTTTATGTATATCCTCCCAGAGCTATGCATTCTCCCCAGACCCCAGAGTACCTACAGGAAACACAGTTTAAAAAATCTTGACAGAGTAACAGCATGTATAAAAATGAGACGATCATTGACTATTTTTCATGCACTTTGTTTGCAGTAGAGCCCACACTAGATCATTATTTCCAAAAGGTAACCTCTCTCCTTCCTTTATGCTACTGCAGAGCAGGGAATACTCGTCTCTATTCATTCCGAACAGTGTGCACCTCTTCAGGTAACCATGGTGTATTTTCAGCTTTGGCAACGTCAGCATTTTTCTATCTGCTAATTTCTAGCTGTGTGGGACCTTGAGGTAGTCATTTAACTTATCTGTGCTTCAATTTCCTTACCTGTCTAATTAGGACAGCAATAGTACCTGCTATTTTTTTTTTAGAATGTTTTATTTTTAGAATAAGATGAATTAATACATGGCAAGGGCTTAGAATAGTTCCTAGGCATTCTTATTACTAGTGTTGCTTTTGTTATTACTTTTTGGTAGGTGGTGTTATTTTCTCCTTGAGCAGAGAGAGTATGTTTTGATCAATTATATGTTTTTCCAAACATATACCATAGTACAGGGCACAATAAGAAATGAATTGCATTTAGATCTTTGGCTAGATTTTTAACATTTGGGGTAATATTTTAAATTCTAGTAGAAATCTTTGTCTCTACCCTGTAGACAATACAAGTGTACACATTTGTGCCCAACTGATCTTTAAAGAATACCTTGAGGAATAGGTAATCTTGCAAAAGCAAGCCTGGAGTATCCTTTGAAGGGCTGAGTGTTTTAATCAAAGGGTAAGTTCCTTTCTTCCGGTTAGCTGTCAATCTAAGAGGTACCTTTTTATATGTCGGGTATCAGTAGGTGGCAGTTTTTATGTCACACTTTGTTCTCTTTGGAACACATCCTCTCAGATGTTAAGTGGAACAGCACAAAGATCTCATAAATCCAGTGTAGGAATCAGTTGGAAAGTATTGCATGTAGTTTATTAGGAGTAATAACTGAATTAGTAAAATATGTGAATGATTTCTGTAAGTTGGAGTGGATTCATTATGAGTTTTATGGTAATTTCATACCCATCACTTCCTTGCATTCTGGTATGCTCATTTGAGTGGGAAAGAAAGGGGAGGGGTTACATTTAGTGCGATTAAATGTAAAGAAATTATTGGTACTACTTGATGTGAATATCATACGTCCTGTGGTATGGATGGCCAATCCAGAAACAGGGCTCAAGAAATTGATCCTAGATGTGAGTCAAAACCAAACGAAAATGTTAGCAGAGCATTTTCAACTTATCAACAACTTAGAACAATTTAGCTGAAGCTGTTGTGGGACTGCTAAGATTGGCAGGTAAGGAAAACAAGCCTCAAATTACAACCCTCTAGCAGCAGCAAATGGAACCAAAATACAACTTCTGGGGTGGCACCCATTTTCAGTGGTTTTGTTCACTGACATATCCAGCAAAATTACTGAACAGCAGAAGGGGTCAACCACCTGGGATCAAGTTTCAAGTGTGGCTCACTTTGAGATGAAAGCATGCTGGCGTTTAGAGCTGGGCACTTGTGAACTGGGGTTATCTAGCGTGCTTGGCAATGTCTAAGTTGTTTTTGGATTCCTGATTCTGATTCCAGATGTTTTTCAATATAACAAGTAGGCAGGGAGATTTAAATAGGAAAGTCACTGGTGAATAACATTACCTGTTACTTTCTTCAGCTGGGTGGGAGGTTTGAAAAATTATTAGGTGTCATATACATTAGAGTGTAAATTGATCATGTGAATAGCCATTATTTATACCTACAGTGACCATATAATTTATCATTGAAGTCAAGGACACCATGGAGAGGGAAAGGGGTGCTGTTAATAATAACACTGGGACAGCAGACATAATGGGGACTGTCTGAGACAATTTGGGACATATAGACTTTTTTTTAACATATGGTGAGTGAAGAGTATTCGTTCAACACACCAGAGTTCCTATGTGATTTCTTTTTACGTTTTTCATTAAGTACCATTATTATATATTATCTGTAGAGAACCTTCCCTTTCTATGACAGGAGACTTTTACAGTAGAGGTTCAGAAATGGTCAAATGAATATATAGGAAACTTATCACATGTGTCAGTAGTACTGGATTTTGGTTTTTCCCTCTTTTTAAATTTTGCTTCCCCCCGTGCCATTCCACGGCACTCCCTCCTTGTTCATGAGGTACAAACAGGGGAAAGATCAAAGGCTTGTGCCAGAGGAAGGAAGATTTCAGATGTGGGGGAAATCTCTGTTCTTCTTTCCTAGAGAAAGGCCTTTTGCTTGCCGATTTCTCCTGGCTCGTGCTCTCTGTCCAATAATGCATTACTCAATGTAAGGCTTTTCCTTTTCCATTAAATAAAACCCTTAAGTTCAAACACAAGCCCAGTCATAGAACCTAGGCTTACCTTTGGCTGTATAAAAATAGCCTTCATGCACTAATTCATATGCAATAGTTCAAACAAACAAAAACCAATACAATCATTCCTGTGTCACTAACAAGATTTTCATAAAACTGAGTGAAATTTCTTGGACTTAATATAATTTTGGGACTTCTAGTTTCTTTCACACACGGAAACTCAGTATATAATAGCTCACAGTATATGATTCAGAAGCGGAGATGAATCAGAAGACTGTTGGGGTATCATTCTACCAGGCTCAGCTTGAGAACTGGGGCCTGGGTCCCTGCAGCTGAACTATGGGCTGGTTCCATAACCTAGTAAGAGGTTGGTAGGAACAAGAATGATTTACATTCAAGTCCTTACAGTTTGGGTGGGCTGGGAGTAAGGGAGAGAAGAAGAAGAAAGGGAGAGAATAAACAAAAACAAGATGAGAAGATCTTGGCTCCACTGTGTAGCTTCTCTGATCTGTACCATAGGGACAGTAGCTCCTGCCCACTTCGTGGAGATGTAGTGAAGATTATGAAAGAAAATGAATTTGAAAGTTCCCTTCAGGATGAAATGCTTTATGCAAATATAAGGCATGTTTTATCACTAAACAGAAATAAACAGAGCTTTGTAACAAACCTTTCCCTAACGTGATCGTCACCTTTATGAAATGTCTAGCGCAGGGGTCCTCAACCCACTGGCCACAGACTGGTACTAGTCCGTGGCCTGTTAGGAACCAGGCCACACAGCAGGAGGTGAGTGGCAGGCGAGTGAGCATTATCACCTGAGCTCCGCCTTCTGTCAGGTCAGCGGTGGCATTAGATTCTCACAGGAGCACAAACCCTATTGTGAACTGCACAAGTGAGGGATTTAGGTTGCACACACCTTATGAGAATGTAATGCCTGATGCTCTGTCGCTGTCTCCCATCACCCCCAGATGGGACTGTCTCTTTGCAGGAAAACAAACTCAGGGCTCCCAGATTCTACATTATGGTGAGTTGTATAATTATTTCATTATATATTACAATGTAATAACAATAGAAAGAAAGTGCACAATGAATGTAATGCACTTGAATCTTCCTGAAACCATTACCTCTCTAATCCTGGTTCATGGAAAGATTGTCTTCCATGAAACCGGTCCCTGGTGTCAAAAAGGCTGGGGACTCCTCGTCTAGAGAACCTTTTTAAGAAGGACACAACCTGTGCTCAATACCCCTGACTCTCTCAGCTAAGGACGGCAATGGCCCATGTCTTTCAAGCAAGCATGAGGTGGAAACCAGCAATGCAAGCAGCTTTAACTCCAGGAATATGAAAGACACAGGGAGTTCCTATGCTGCAGTCTTTATTTTAACTAAGAAAGCCCTCGCTAGGACTTTGATTGGGCTGGATGTTCAATGTCACAATACTTTATAAGATGTTTTAACAGTCAGTTTAGTCTACAAAGCAGCCAAACTAGTTATCTGAGTTGGGTAATTGTTGAGCTGTTTTGATTTATATTTCAGGTCCACTCGACCATCAGAATAGTTAAATTACAGACAGCTAATATATGGGAGAGTCACTGGAAATTGGGCTAAGCCCTGTGAATTTGATATCTGATTTGCTTCCTGTGACTATGATGTCTAAGTCGAGTTGACAAACGAGGGGAAGTGGGCTTGATGCGTGTTTCTGTTGTAGGGATCATGCTTTGCTTCAAGGTGGCTGTAAGTTCAAACTACATAAGAACCCAGAATCTCCAGTCATTTACTTACTTAGGCTTTTAATTTTGAAAAAAAGTTAAGACACAAAGCAACTCCATCTCAGAATTAAAATTTCACATATATCCTTTATGCTAATGGAAACTTGTTGCCAGTTTGCACACTTGTTGTCAATACTCAGAGCACGCTTGGATAATTGAATTGAATTTGTAACAACAAAAACAAACTTATTCTTATATATTAATACCTTCATTTTTCTGTCCAGTTCTTACAGATCCGGGTTCATATCATGACCTTCTTAGTGTGATTGGGTGAGTTATTAATTTCACTGTGTCTCATTTTATTCAGTATAAAATGGACATTATTATGTTTATATCATAGAGATGTTATAAAGATGAAATAAGGCTGGGTATGGTGGCTCAGGCCTGTAATCCCAGCACTTTGGGAGGCTGAGGCACGTGGATCACGAGGTCAGGAATTCGAGAGTAGCCTGGCCAACATGGTGAAACTCCGTCTCTATTAAAAATACAAAACATTAGCCCGGCATGGTGGAGGGTGCCTGTAGTCCCAGCTACTCGGGAGGCTGAGGCAGGAGAATCGCTTGAACCCCGGAGGTGGAGGTTGCAGTGAGCCGAGATCACGCCACTGCACTCCAGCTTGGGCGACTGAGGGATACTCCGTCCCCCCTCGCCCGCTCGCCCCCCAATCCCCCCAAAAAATGTTAGTGAGTGTGACCAGCCGGGCTGCTGTGTCCCACTGGGGCTGTGGCTTCACCAGGGGATAAGACCTTAGTTTTGGCCATTAGGCTTAACAAGGCTGTCCCAACTTTAGCGTCTTGCTCTTGCACCCAGGACCATGTTTGGCGTGGGATAATTTCTCATTATCTATCTTTTGAAAAAAGTGGATAATTCCCAAAGTCAGTTCTTCAGCCATCTCACTGCTCAGCACCTCACTGCAGTCATGTTCGCTCAAGTACGGGTCATTCCCGAACTGAGATCTCTGCATCTGCACTTTCTCTGCCTGGAAATTTCTATCCCCGGGTCTGCTCATGGTGTCTCTTTCCCTGTCATTCATCAGAGCTCCATCACCCCAGGCTCTCCTGGACCACTAGCCTAAAGGAGTTTCCTTCCTGGTCATTATCCCATTTCCTGTTTCATTCCTTCATGGCGCCTTTCACCTTCTGAATCTTCGCGTTCATTTTTTGGCGTACATGTTATCTGTCTCTTCCTCACTAAAGGGAGAGGGCGGAAATTTTAGTGTCTTGCTCTTGCACCCAGAACCGTGTTTGGCATGGGATGATTTCTCATTATATATCTTTTGAAAAAGTGAGTAATTGCTGAGGTCAGTCATTTTTTTTAATTAAAAAAATCCACAGATGCTTGTTCTTATTGAAGGGAAGGTGGCTTTATTCAAGGTAAATATTCTTCTGCTTTCTTGAATCCAGTTTGCAATCCTTCTTTCTCCTCTCTCCAAACTTGAGCATTCACAGGGTAAAAGTCCCATTTTCCCAATTTCCAGTTTTGCTTTATGCTTCAAGGTGTACATGAGCTTGTGCTCCTTAAGCAGGCTATAAAGGCAGGCATCTAATTCCTCCTGGCTTTGCTGCATGCCCTATTTATGAGCCAGCAAAATATGTTTGGCCACATGTTTACACCAGCAAATAAATGTGTCTATGGAATGGAAATGCGTCCCCACTATATCAGTTGTCAACGTCTATTTAAACAGACTTAAATTTGTGGCTGTATCTTTCTAGCTCTCAAGATACAGAAACACTTTATCCCTCATTGCCACTATGTTACAAGTTGGATTTTTTAAATCAATGTAATTTTGTTACCACATTTGTGCATATACTTTAACTATATCCCTGTCTGCTTATCCAAAGAGCAAATTAAAATAAATATTGTTGTTACCTGATAAAAGTGTCTGGTTTCATTTATTTTTCTAAAACCACTTGGATGTTTTTCCTTCCCAATAAACTGGTTTCTGTTACTTCCAAATGAAATTTGTTACATTTTGATTTTGTAGATGAAATTATCCTAACATTCCTTAATTGTTTTATAATAGTCACTTTTCTGAATACAAACCAAAATAATAATAATGTGAGCTAAATCACAGTATTTCTTACAGTTACATGCTGTATTCTTGGTGCTTTTATTTGTATGAGTTTCTTTATTTATAAGATCATTCTTGAAATAAATTATTTATCTGTAATAGTTATGGTTAACTGCATTAAGGAATGAATAATTTTCAACTGGTTTTTCACAGCCAGTGATAAATCCCCTAGAGCAAGGTTTGTACATAATAAGAGTTCAATAAATATTTGTGAAATAAATCTTTAGCAGGTTATACAATATTTAGCATGCCTGAGAGGATGGAAACATTTCAGAAGTATAAAACTCAATGCAATTGGCTAAATTGGGAAGTTATTAGTCTTTTCACATTTGATCTTATTTTTTGACCTCATTTATAAAGTATTGACATCAGTTTTCAAGTCACTAAATTTATCCTCTGAGAAGAAATCAGTACAAAAGAATAGAGATACAGTATTTTCCATATGAATTTGGGAGGCTCTAAATGTTCTAAAATTCAAATAGTTCCTGATTTCAGATGCTGAGTGTATTTCGGTGAGTGGCACTGTTTTACTATATGGGGTTTGTTGTTGTTTTTTAATATTGAACTTTCTAAAAATGTCTCAAACCCAAAAAGTTCCATGGCTCTGAAATTTATGACAATAATTAAGAAAATGCAGAAAGGGCACTGGTAGATTTTTAAAAACTATTTTAATACAAGATTAATAGCAATTTTCTATCCAAATCAGAAATGAAAAATCTTAACCCAAATAATATTCATTTGACAGTCACATAAAATTTTAGGTCTGATTGGTGCACACATTTATCCTGCATATATATTATGTATATGCACAGAGAGACCTCACTATTATGCCATTGTTAGGGGTCTTTTCGTGGAAGTACCTCATTACAAGGCAATGTCAAAGGTTCCGTAACCACTCAACTTTGAATGAAGTTGAAGATGTCCCCATGCTAAGCTGAGTCCGTGCCGTAGCAAACCATGACGTAGCAAGTCTCCAGAATGCGTACAAATCAATACTCCGTTTGTGTAAGTTGGTCTAAAACTAAACACTGACTAGTGTCTCCAACAAGGAGGAACACATTGCAAATTTATAAGTTACGGTTTCCTTTACTCTTCTGTTAGCAAAGCTAAATTGTGTTTTTAAATAAAAATCAGGTCTGTTAGTAAGTAAATAGAAATGTGTCTAAATTTCTGCAAGTTTTAGGTAAAACTTGCATTTGCTAACGCTTCTACGTTTAATCAAATCACTTGATAATTAGCTTTGCAAAAAGAAGTAATAAAAGAATCACATCTCAGGAATATGTGAAGTTTTTTTCCTCCTTAGGGACTTTAGTTGGTGTTCAGTCTGTAGCCAAAACATGTATGTAATGGCAAAAGAATTAAAGAAGGCTAATGTCTGCAGCAGGGAATAAATTAAAAATCAGGGTTCTGCCTATAATAATATTTTCAATGTGTTTGCTTTAAAGAATGTTACTTTTATAATTATTACTACTTATCAATGAATAATAGTGTTTTTCAGTGTAGACAAAATAGTATTTTCTACCCCTTACATTTAAAGCAGGTGATACAAGTTACTTAATGCTATCTAGGTAAGTCATTGTAAGGGAGTCAGATTTCTAGTGCTAACGTTCTACGATGGCTATAATCAAAGTACCAACTTGGCCTTCGTGAAAGTGACAGAAGGTTGTCATGGTTGTCCTTCAATACAGAACCATAAACAGAGCTCTTATTGGTAAATTTGTAATTCATTCTTCTCTGCTAAAGACTTTAGCCTCTGTTTAGCTTTTGTTGTGACACATACAAAGTATAATATATACCAATTACAGACGTGTATTTCTGTTAGAAAAATACATATTATAACTAAAGAACATGTAAATAGAGGCACTTCAATAAGCTAAGTGTTTGCAGTTATGAGCATCACCCACCAATTTCTAGTGTCGGATTTCAGTGAGCCCATTCCTCTCTATTCATAACAAAAGTTATGATATGATTACAGAATTTAGGGAACATCAGAGCAAATGAGGGGCATGTCATAAAAAATAATGAAGCCTCATTGCATCCCCTATCAATATGCTGAAATGAGAAAAATTAATTTGAGGGTTGAATTCCAAAATACTTACTGAAATAGGGTAACCAGGTTAAATGAAATCCTTTAGGGCCAAAACATTTCTCATGTTAAATTAGTTGGAAAATCATATGACATAGTAGTATGATGATAAAAACTAGGAAGTACAACTTGAATGATATTTAGACCACATCCATGCAGGGTGCTAACACTGTGACATCATTAACTGATATCGTTTCAGCTCTCTGCCTGGCTCATTATACGTCACTATATCTCATCAATATGAATCATATTGATAATGAAGGTGTTGAAACAAATGAAGCAGGCGTTTATATATTATCTGTGTGTTTAGTGCGTATAGAACATGGGTTCACATTCATTAATATTATGTGTATTCATACACATGCACAAAACCTTTTGGGGATGAAAGCACAGTAAAACAAGGCATCCTGATCTATTTCATAAAAGAGAATGCAGAAATATTTTAAAAAGGAAAGACTTGGAGTTTAAAGCCATAAAGACAAGTTATTATTCAAATAGTCTGGAAAATCAAGGTTGATTTAATTTGTATTGCACCTTAATTATTGGAGAAAGACAATACTGACTTCTGAACACAGAATGAAATGAGCAACAAAAATGACTGGTCCTTCATAGAGAAGTCTTATGTGGAGTTCGTGGTAGGAAGCCAAAATGTGGGCAGTGAAATGGATGGTTTTCTAGAAGTATGTAATGGTGAACTAGATTGTTAATTTCATAAAGTTTTAAATGAAAGAATGCCACAAAGTCTCTTATCATCCTACATTTTATATTTCATTAGGCATAAAGTAGCAATAGATGCTTGTAAATACTTTCTGTCTTGCAAAAGTGCTCAAATATACTTAATACTATTGTGCCACATGTGTTCTACTTAAATGTGATGACTAAATCAATAACTAATTTTAATTTTGATGAGAACAGAGATTGAAAAATACCATTTACGTGTCAATACTGTCGATGAGTTAATTAAAATGTGACTGGCATACTATGGTGTCTTGAAACATTACTTTTCCCTACTCCAGATGCATCATAAAAACCAAGAAACATATGGATAGTCAACTGTATTCATAAAGCCCCAGTCTGGTTTATTTTGCTTCTCTCTGTCAGGGGGAGCATAGGGCCTGGCTTTGGCATACTTGGTGAACAGGTTAGGCTGTGGCTCTAAATTGGCCTATTGAGTTAGATCATGTATCCAAGTGCCAGGCAGGAATCCTAGGCCGAAGGTGTTTTACATGAAAGCAATGGTTTTTCATGAATAACATTCTTTACACATACAGTTTCCATCACCAGTAAAGCCCTGCACACCCACGGCTCATCCCATGAGTTTGGTGTAGTCTGGAGCACCCAGGCTGAAGCACACTCATGCAGAAGGGTGTGCCCTGGCAAACTTGTAATAAATGGACAGTTAGATACGTAAAAAGTTCTCTTTCTTGATTCTTGGTGCTCACAGATCACTGAGGAATCCCTTCTTTGAGCAGCACAAAACAAGAAGAGCTGGTTGACAAAACATTTTCTTACAAAGGTGTGTCAACCCTGAGCTTGGAATTAAGAAGTTAAAATCTGTGATTTATAGATATATAGATATAAAAATAGATGATCATACTAAGACTAAAAAAGTGAAAGAAATCTCCATGTCAATACTATATATATATATATATTTTTGTCTTCTTTTTCTGTTGTGAGTTATTTTGTAAGAGAATGCCCTTGTGATGCAGAAACCAACTGACACAAAGTAAATAGTTAAAAATGAAAACTCAGGAATGGATCTAATTGTGTATCGATTCATTAAAAAAGCTATTGTTTTGGGAGGGTAATGAGCACAGGGGCAGAAACGTCTAGTTAATGTCAAACCTGTGGCAAAAGCAGAGATTGTATCATTAAAGATTATTTTCAATTGAGACTCTTGAGGAAGGTGAATTGATGGGGGTATCTACTAGTAATTGAAGATGAAGGGGAAAATCTGTGCCAATTGGGTACAGTGGACAGACATTAAGGGAATTAAGAAAAAATGGTGCCATTACTAAATTGAAATTGGGCAGGGTGAGAGAGAGGTGCTGAGTTGTAGTAATTTTTGTTCTCATATTAAAGACGGGATTCTAAATTTAGTATCAGTACCTCCAGATTAATTTGGTGTTGTTTGGTTAGAGTGCAAGATGATACCTCCAAGACAACAGTGCATTTTCACTACATTTAGAACAAACTTTAAGCTTTTTCCCCATAAGCATTGTGTAAACCCGGATTTGTCACAAAAAAGCTTACACTGGGAGTTGGCTGTCAATGCTGAACTTACAGCGTTAAAGTTCATTTATTTTTCTTTGTTTGCTTTTTTGTTGAAAATGCAGCTGTCTTGGGGTTTGGCCCGATTTTACAAGGAAAATTATTTTCTTTCTTCCTTTTTTATTGTAAATGACAAAAAAACCCTCACAACGTGAGATTCCTTTACTTCTGCAGCATAAAAGCAAATGAAGGTAAGAAAATCTCCTGGTACGAAAGATTTGAGTAAGAATTCTCTCTAGAATAAACAAGGTCCCCACAGATAGCTGAAGGAAAGAGGAAGCAGTTCAGTCTGGCACCCGGTACTCTTTGGGAAAACAAAAAGGGAGGCAGGTTGCAGTACTGCTCTCTTCTCATAGAAAACGGTAAGTTTTTGTGGCATGGTCCATCGTCCAAGAGTGTAAGAAAAGGAGTTGGCCATTCAAATAGCTAAAATGCAGTTTCATCTGACCAAAAACCCAAGATTATCTGCTCAGTCTCTGCAGTGCCAGGACAATGCCGGTGAGACACCAGGAGAGCAGGGAGTGGCCACGCTGGGCTGCAGAAGAGTCCACCTCTCTCCGGTCAGGATCCACTGGGGGGGCCTCTGTGGTGACAAACTCAAACTCCGTGGGACACACATCATCCATGCACCCACTGCCACTCCCTGAGCCACTGGATTCATCACCTAGTGTGGAAAGATTGAAAAAGAAAGTTAGATCACTGATATGGTTAGGCTTTGTGGCCCCACCCAAATCTCATCTTGAATTATAATCTCCATAATCCCCACGTGTCAGGGGAGAGGCCAGGTGGAGATAATTCAACCATGGGGGTGGTTTCCCCCATCCTGTTCTCGTGATAGTGATTGAGTTCTCACGAGATCTGACAGTTTTGTAAGGGGCTCCTCCCCCATGGCTTGGCACTTCTCTTTCCTGCCAACTTGTGAAGAAAGTGCCTTCGCCTTCCACCATCATTGTAATTTTCCTGAGGCCTCCTCAGCTATGCTGAACTGTGAGTCAATTAACCGCTTTCCTTTATCAATTACCCAGTCTCGGGCAGTTCTTTACAGCAGTATGAAAATGGACTAATACAACCACCAATCAGGAAAGAGTGGAAACAAAGAGCTCAGCAGGTATGGGGCATGGTGGTGGGAGGCCAAATCTTCCCATGCATGGTCCCCCACCCTACCCAACAGGATTGTTTTTAATAGGCAGGGGTGTGACGAGTGGGTGGACTGTACAGAAGTAGGTGTTTGAAGAACAGTTACAACTGATACCCGAGTTATGCAACCCAAGGAATGTGTGAACCCCAGACTCAAGGGGAGGCCACACCTACCATGTTGGCCTTAGAAAGACATATCTTCTGGCCAGTACTTAAGTTTAAGAAACTCCATTCTTTGCTGTTTTTATATGCAGAGTCATTGCTCTAGGAAGATACCATGCTTTTTAATGGATTTTAGAAGAAAAATATAGAAGAGGAAAACAAGTTCTACACAGAGGAAATGAGAGGAGCAGCAGCAATAGTGGTGAGAGGTCTCTATAAATATAACTTTTGGCCACCTTTTCCCCACCTGTGTTCTCCTGTGAGCAAGGATGGACTCCGTCCCAGCCAGCTTCTCCCCTTAAACCAGGAGTTGACAAACTATGACCTGCTGCTTGCTTTTGTATGGTCCATAACTCCAAAATGGCTTATTTACATAAAAAATATATTTTATAGATATCCATAAAGTCTATCTATCTATCTATCTATCTATCTATCTATCTATCTATCTATCTATCTATCTATCTATCTATCTATGATAGGGTCTGGCTCTGTTGCCCAGGCCCAGTTATGTTGCCCGTAACTCACTGCAGCCCCAAACTCCTGGGCCTAAGTGACCTTCCTGCCTTAGCCTCCCAAGTAGCTGGGACTGTAGGCATGTTCCAGTGTACCTGGTGGTTTGTATAGTTTCAAGTGTTTGAAGGAAATCAAGTGAAGAATAATATTTCATGACATGTAAAAAGTGTATGTGAAATTCTCATTTCAGTGTCCATATATGAAATTTTATTACAATCCAACTGCCCCCATTCACATATGTATTATCACGTTAGACCAGCAGTGTGGGGTTGTGCTGGCAGAGATGATGTGGCCCTCAAAGATTAACAGATTTAATATATGGCCCTTGACAGAAACAGTTGGCCATTCTCTGCTTGAAACCAAGGCCCAGGTACCCCCAGAGTATGTCGACCCAGGGTGGCATCGTCCCTTCCCGCCCAACTTGCTTTCTTCCCTATTCCCACTTCTCACGGGCTTGATTCCTTCTTATTTGGCAAACCCTGTCACTCAAACCTGGCCCAGATCAGGCTGCCAATTACTAGCTTTATGAAAGTACTTATTACTGCTTGGAGATGTATTATTTATGTGCCTGTTCACTTGCTTACTGTTTATCTCCTTCTCAAGAATGTAAACTAAAGACACAATCTTTGAGAGGGTAGAGATTTGGTAAATCCTGTTCATTTCTGTACCTCTAAAGCCTTCAGTGGCCCCTGGCATACAGCAAGTGCTCAACAAATACTTGCTGAATAAATAAATGTGCTTTGGGCAGTTACTCAACTTTTGCAGTTTCCTCACCTAAACAAATACAGATGACAACGTTGACCTTGGAGAGAATGTGTGAAGAGTGCTGGAGGACACCAAACCCAGTGCTGCCAGTGACGCCTGATGGAAAAAACATGGTTCCTACAGCACAGGAGACCTGGAATGTACCCTGACAGTTGTTATTTAAAAGCACAGGGTAAGCCAGTTAGACTTATTGAGGCTTTGTTTCCTCCCCTGTAAAAATGATAGTAATAACATCTATCTGTTATGAGAAATCATGTTCCTGGAAGGGCTCAGGAAACTGGAAGCTTTGTGAGGACATTAGCTATTTCTCTCACTTGCTCAATGATTTCCAACCAATATCCCTAAACTCCTCCCTGCTAGTCTGAAATGGTGATGCCCTGTTGAGCTGCTCCTGACAAACCAGGGCCAGCTTTAGCTGCTGGATGCTACTTAAGTAAAGCTGGGGCAATGTAGGGACTCTTCTACTGTCCTCTTGAATGAGAAAGATACAATGAGAGAAACGAGCACAGTTTCCTTTTTTAATGGGACATCTAAATACCAGATAAGATCACTTCAATACACTATACTAGGTTTTTAACATTTTCTCTGATTTATCTTTAGTGGCCTTTACAAGGGGGAAAATTCCCGTTAATTAAATTCAGAGATATCAGAATTGCTAAGGGAATTGTTCTGAACACTGGTGTCATGAACAAGAAGTAATATAACCTTTACAGAGATATTATTACAATGATTTAGAATATTAAAAAATGTGGGAAGCAAATATGACAAGAGATTTTGGCTGGAAAAAATAATGGTCCCATCTCTGTCTGAAAAGGAATCACGAATGTAAATATTAAGGGATGGGATGAATAACTTAAAAAAATGTCCAAAGCAATAAGGATGCTGATGGTTATAAAATGTGATAATGGTTTATATGACAGACACTAGCCTAAAATAGAGGGGCCACATTTGGTGCTTGGGTTAGAACTCAGGGATCCTCTTAATTGTTGATTTTATTTTCTTTTGAGGGGAAATGGAGTAAGAGCTCTGCCTCTTGGCCATTCCCTGAGCTTTGCAGCTTGATATGTGTATAACCTCTTTAGGTCAGAGAGGAGTGAGAAGCAACAAACCCAAGCCAACTAATTCTTATGTATCTTGAATTATTCATTCCAATAGCCACTCTCTAGATAATAGAGCATTTTATTTAATGGAGAAGACAATGGATAAAATGAGAGGTGCTAATAAGGGTGAAACAACAATGGCTAAAACCTGTGTAATGTTCTCTTCTGAAGAGGAAAGGAAGGGTTTAGTAAAAGGAGGTGAGATAATGGGATTATTTTGAGGAATTTTACAGCAATAACGTCCATTGGGTTGGTAATTATTCTGTGTTTAGAAAATTATTTTTTTGAGTTCTTTAAAATGGAATGAAGCACAAAAATTTTCTGCAGGGGATAACTTGGTAGGCTGATGACTATGACTGATATGACTTGAGGTCTTCTATCTATAACTTATTCCTTTCTATCTCATTAATTCAAGCACACAAGCATCATCTTATGATTCAGTAACCAAATTACAGAATCACTGGCAACTTCACATCTTATGTTCAAGAATCCTTGTCCTGGGAACTCTCTTTGTAAGGGTAATATTTTTAAAAAGCAACAAACAACAATGACAGAAAAATTTTTTTTGTAGTTATTCATCTTGAAACCACTCAGACAAAATCCATGTATAGTTTCATGTCAATGTTCACTTAATAGTCTTCCAAGTCATTTTTGATGCTTCTTTGATCCTTAATGAAATAGTCATGTGTAATATTGCACTAGAATTTTACAATTTCTCTCAATATTTCAGATACAAATGTCTATGGGTTGTGTGTGTGCATAGTTGGACAGAGAGGGAAATGACGTAGCTGAACCTGCTCACTACCCGCCAGACACTATCATAGCTCCTCAAATAAGGCTTCTAAAAGCCTCTGAAGCAGGGATGCTTCCCATGCTATAGAAGAGGAACCTGAGACTCAAGAAGTAGAGTAATTTGTAGAGACTTGGATTAATAAAGAATGAGGGATTCCAGCTCAGGCTTGTCTAAGCAATCTGCTGAGCTTTCTTCTTTTGGTGGGAATAGGGCAGAAGTTTGGGTCAGATGTGAATACTGATGAGGACAGGAGAAAGTGAAAAATTACTTTGCTGTTTTGTCATTAATGAATCAACTGGTAGATGAAACTCAATTTCAGCTTTGGTATGGCTGAACGTAATCCATCGCAATTATTACTTGTGTTGTGGAATTTATTATTTTATTTGTATCCTATGTTTTGTGGATCAGAGCTCTCTGTCCAAAACACTATAAAAAGCATCACAGCCTGCGGAAGATTCAGAAAAAATTAAAAGGGCATATTGCTCTTGAAGAAAGTCAGGGCGTTGTCTTCTAAAACCATTTTTTACTCTGGAAGTTTCTGGTGCTGGGAAGGATTTTCTTACTTGTGTCCTGGAAATTGACATCATTGCCATTGTAGGCGTTTTTCAGTTTGTTGGTCATCACACGGAGAGCCATAATCTGCTGTCTGATGAACGTGTCGGGCCGAGTGATGTCCACGTCCACCTCGGGATTGTTGATCTGGTTGGTGAGCCCATCATTCATGATCTCAGGCAAGTATCTGCAAGGCAGAGAGGGAGAGAACAGCTCAGAGAGATGCCACAGAAACCACAAAACCAGATGCTGCCATGCAAAACCAGATGACTGTCTCTGACAGTCGGCCAAGACACCTGGCAAAAACTGGATCTGGTTCCTGGAAAAAAATGTTAAATAGTGAAAACACGGAATACAGTTTTTTCAGACGAAGATGTGGCTAAAATAGCCTCAGACTCGTTTTTTTAAATGGCACTGAATTCTTAGGTAGGTTTGCCTACAAATAAATGCGAAACTGGGGACCTATGAGAAACCACTTGTATTAGTCTGTTCTCACACTGAAACATACATACCTGAGACTGGGTAATTTAGAAAGAAAATGAGGTTTAATAGACTCACAGTTCCACATAGCTGGAGAGACCTCACAATCATGGTGGAAGGTAGAGGAGGAGCAAAGGCACATCTTACGTGGTGGCAGGCAAGAGAAGTGCCAAGCAAAAGGGGGAAAAGCCCCTTATAAAACCATCAGATCTTGTGAGAACTCACTATCACGAGAGCAGCAGCCTGGGGTAACAGCCCCCATGATTCAATTACCTCCATGATTCAATTACCTCCCACCATTTCCCTCCCAGGACACCTACAGATTGTGGAACTAAATTCAAGATGGGATTTGGGAGGGGAGAGAGCCAAACCACATCACCACTACTTCACATTAATGACTCTTTCCTCCCTCCATCCCAAATGTTAGCTTAGGTCAAGGATTCGATAGCTTCCTCAGTTCTGCTAATGTTGGTAGTCAGAACGGGGCTTATAAATTACGTATGATCCGAGAGAGTTTTCTGTGGGGATGCCCATTCTTAACTGCAGAGGCACTACCTCAGATCTTAATCAGAAGAAATTCTGGATATGAAAAACCTGCTTTGGGGACATTTCAGAAGTAAGCAGTGGTTACTGGAATGATTGAGGTGTCTGTTAGGGTTTTTATTTTGTAGTAGAATCTTGGGTTTAATTAGGTAGATTTACCAATGTTCAGTAAAACAGAAGGGTAAAATCATCAAATGATTCCGAGTTTCACTTTTCTTTCACTTGTATCAAAATGTCAAAATTGTCAGTCCTTCAATGTGAGCTGCTGAAACTGCCTAGGGGTATTTATATAAGTGGAGGCTAAAGATCTTGGAAATGCACTTGGGGCCCTCTGTGACTGCTTACTCTCACCATCTGTCCATCTTCCAGTCCTCTTCCTCTTCTTCTCACAGAGCTTCTTATACCTGCTTCTGTTTTCCCATTTCCCATTTCTCTCACTGGAGAGACACCCCCTGCAACCTCCAAGTGTCCCCCCCACACCCTTCTTTCCTCTCTAGAGCATCCTGCACATGCTGTGTGATTAATTTTTAAAAAATATTGCTTTCATCATATCACTCTTCTCTTTAAAAACTTGAGGATGGTAGCTAATGTTCAATAACTACCAGGCACTGCAGTAAACATTTGACACACATCTTTAAATTCAGCCCAACAGCAAATCTAGGAGATGGGGAGTATTTTATCCTTGTTTTATGAAACAGAAAACTGAGGCTTAGTGAGAATAAGCAAATGTGCAAAGTCACAGAGCTAATAGCTGCCAAAACCATGACTTACACCCAGTCTAGCTCTGGAGCCCCAGTGCCCAAACCCTGCCCCAAACTGCCTGGAGGATCATCAACTAGAATTCACATGTTATAGCTCAGCAATCAAAGGGTCTCCACCCACTTCCACTTTCTCATACTCTCTCCAGGGACCCTCCTTGTCTTATAGAGTTGACTCCCTGTAGCCATCCTATGCCTTGCTGTCCTACAGGTTTTCCTTGCATAGTGAAATTTCCCATTTAAGTCCCAAATACCCTTAAAGACCCAGGCCCATCCTCACTTTCTCTTCAAGATATTTCCCAGCTTTCAGGGATCTGCCCACCCTTTTGTCAGGCTGCCAGGTTTGGTTGGGCATTTCGTGCGCTGCACAAACTCACCCCTCGAAGCTGCAGGAGTGAGTTGGTGCTGCAATCCAGACCACAGCTAAGCTACACCCCTGCAGGGCACCATCCACCAAAAGGGGTGCCTTTTTCTTTTCTTTTTGGTACTCTTCTTATTTTAGAAAACTTCAATACATATAAAAGTAGAGCCAATAACATAATGAACCCCCATGCACCCATCTGGGTGCTTTTTCCTAATTCCTACTAAGGTGCTATGTTTGTCTGTGTCCTGGTAAGAAACAGATGGCACACTCAAAGGGGTGACAAAGAGAGTTTAAAGAAGAGGCTATTTATAAAGGTTGAACAAGTTAAAGGAAACCAGCCCAGAGAGGTGAAGCACCCCAGGGCTGGCCACAGGAGAGGGGGCCCCGGGGGATAAGGGGAAGAAGTTGTTGGTGGAATGAACAAGAACTGATCCCACAGAGAGGCACCCAATGACACAGCCACTGCCAAACCAAGATCTGTCAGGGGAGGGGCCGGGGGAGGAGGCCCTGACCCCTGTAGTCCCTCCTCTTGACCTCCAGCTGCTGCCTTCCATTGGCTGAACCAATTGGAAGTTGGTGGGCAAGGGAGCCCAGATGATACAGCTTGTAGAGGTCCTCCAGGGCCAGGGCCACAGTGGAGGGATGAAGACTGGGTCTGACGGGGAATCAGGACATCCAGCTGTGGCCCTCTACAGGCCCAGGACAGCCCTATCTAATTGGCATTACTGTTATTCTTTTACTCGCTCGACTGTTGTTGCTTGAGAGCTCAAAAAGCATCTTTTCCTCTATTTTATTATTCCTATTTACATATTCTTTTATAATATCCATGTGCTTGAAATTCTTCCCTTCCTGCAAGTGATTTTCCAAGTTCTGGAAACCAAAAGCTCTATCCATCAACCTCCAAAAGAAGAACTACACAGAGAAACTTTGGTATTTAAGCTGTTTTCCAGGTATTGAATCTTACGCTTGATGTATTTGTATATGAAATGGTTTACTCATTTTAAATCAGAGGTCCTATGAATAAGCTCCATGTCTTCATCCATATCTTGAACAAAATCGACTTCACAATGCTCACTAAATAATGAATAATAAAACACACGGAGTGCATTGTAAATTCTTTTCCATGAAGCTCCAACTATTTACTGCTCTAAAAAATGGCCTCATAGAAAATTTTAAAAGCCGTGGACTCATATCTCTTTCTTTTGCCATAAAGCATAACTTCTGTCCTGCGTTTTAATATATTTGGTATGTAAATAAATTCCTGTTTGTTCCTGAGACTGTTTTCCTGATGTAATTTCTAAAATATGCCATTGGATTGACTATTACTGACAGGCAATTATATGAGCTAGGATCCGTGAGCTCTACCTAATTGTTACAGCCTATTGGAATAAACAATAGCAGGTGCAGCCCATCTTTTGCTGACAGCAGAGCTGAGAGGTGATGGTCGATTCTGGTGTTGCTCCTCTACAGTTTGGGAAATGACTGTTGCAGCTGTACCTATGCTGAGTCAGAGGCGAGCTTTGTTTCTTTCAGATGCTGTGTGCACTGCATGGTTAGCTGAGACTCATTTATCAGGAGCTCACTGCAATAGCTTACTTGGGAATGCTACCCCTGGGAGTCTGAACATCCAGGAACAATAAGAGACTGCCAAGTAAACCCAGCCTCTAACTGTGCCTACTGATGCTCAGCTGCTTACAATAAAAACAAGTAACAGTGCATCCGTGTCCTCAAGAGCCTTTTCTCCTTTTGGTGTATTCAAAGGGTGACTTTGGAGACACTGTGAAAACTTAAACCTAAAACAGCTGAAAATAAAAATGGTCATTTGGTCACTCCAGAGGTAAGTCCTGAATCTAAATCTATAGATGTCCATTGTGCGACCCAAAGGGTCTGTGAAAGCCCCACTCAGCATGAGGACCTCAGAGCCCATTTATTTCTTGCCTCTCACATTTGGTTTCTTTACATAACACTCCTGTCCTGCAAGAACAGACACCTCTTTGAGCCCACAATGTTATTCCTTCTATTGGATTTTTGCACAGCTTTTTGACATGACAGCATCCTGTTTTTGCACCATCATATCCCTGGGAGACATAGAAGGAGAATCTTGGCACAGAGAGCCCAGGTTCCAAGGCTGTGGATGCATGTTTACCTGGTGGATCCAGCCTTGGGAGAAGCCAGAAGTGAGGACAACCTGGAGAGTTGAGCAGGGATGTCATGGTTTGCCAATGCAGCCTGCCCTGGGCAAGTGGGTGGCATCCATGAACAGCCAAGCACAGCTTCCTCATTTGGGTTGCCTTCTGTTCTGCAAGAGTATGGCGAGGAACTAAATCTTTGAATTTTACAGAATTATTTTTCTTTGCATCTCACTGCATATCATAAATGTCGGTGTCCTTGACTACATTCAAACATTACAACTGATTAGGGTGGAAGAGTCCTATGAAAATTTGGGGGATGAGAGGGTTGATACATCCAGTCCTGTGGGTAGAGTTGACAGTTCTTGTCATCTGAGAGATATTAAACACAACCATCCCCGCAGAAGTTTCCCAGCAGCCAACCACAGCCTCCGCTATTCTCAACATTCAACATCATCACTCCTGACAGTTTAACCAATGCTTCCAGAAAGACCCTGTTGATATGTGCATGTGCTTAGTATTTCTCATCACGTTAATGCTAGTAGCTGTTTTGATGTAAGGCACTGCATATTGGGGGAATAGGTCACATGACTCTCAAGATTTAATGAAATGTGACAGCCAGTAGGTCTGAGAAGTGAGGCACTAGCAAGGAAGGTTAGCCCGGTGGTGGTTAGTAGGGGTGTCATGAATCCAGGTAGGAGCTAAGGCAGGAATGGGGAGAAATGGGGAGCTTGGGTGCTGGCCTGGGCTTCTCTGGTGCACGATTCTTCCCCTGACTGTTACTGCCTCAAGGCACAATGAGAAGGGTAAAGTGAAAGCAATTTCAGTACTCACAAATGAGCTCCACTCAATACACATCTTTATAGCAATTTCAAATTCTAAGCTACCTATTCATTAATGTTAAGCAGGTTTA